CCCACAATTATATATGCAGTCATTCCAAGTTCCATGGGATTGTACATTATTTGGGATGGCTTCTAGCAATATCCCCCTCTACATTTCCCACACTCGATGCCCTGGAGATTGGGATGGGCAATCAATGTCTAAATATAGTCGTTTTACAATTTTGGACATTGTAAGTTCATATCTTTCATGACTCTTTTCATTTTAGTAAATATATAAGCTATAAGTTCACTTAAATTGGCATATTTTAGGATGATGCACGAAATGATAGTGGAGCAGTGGCATTGGTCACGTGTATGGATTCTTCGAGCCTCAATCCATACAAAAGTCTCGGGAATAAGCGTGATCAAATTGTCGGTTACATCCGAATTGGATGACTGTCTCTAAAAGAGATATTTACCTTGGAGCATACCATCATTCGTAAGTTATCCCAGCCTCTTCCTGGTTTTACACAAGTTTTTTTAATAGATTCTAATCATGTGTATATACGTAAACCACTCGGCAACTATTAGTTATTTGTCCAAAGCAGTAATCTTGTGTGTTGGTTCTCGCTCATTGGGAAGAAAACCTGACATGGAGCTAAAAAATATTGTAAACGAGTAAGTATTTATTATATTATGTCTAAACATCTTGTTTATTCTATTTCTAATCCCCTTATTTTCAATATATAGTGCTTTAAAGGTTTGTAGTACATTAGATGGAAAACACACAAGTAAAAGCACAACTCCAAATTGGAATTTTATGAAAGTAAGTAGCCTTTATATATATTATACTATCTATTAATTTACGTTCAAATTTAATAGTTATTTTTAATATATATACTCATTTTTAGTGTAACAAACAAAATGGAGGCTACGAGTGCGGCTACTATGTAATGTATTGGATGTGGCTCATCATTTTTGGTTGCATTCGGGATAGTTGGGACGAGGTAAGTTGACATTTGCTATTATATTCAATTCCTTTATTTTTATTGCTTAGGGTTTACCATTCTATTATTGTGAACTTCTTACAGTGCATTTAAAGATATAGAACCTTTGCCTATGGATACAATAGACATGGTTAGAAACAAATGGGCGTAAAGGTTTGTGCAAGTAGTTAGGAATAATAGGATTGATTGATAATTTTTGTGTATTATGTACATAATGTGGTTGGACTGAGATTGTAAGTGTATTGTGTAAATATATAGTGATTATGTGAATCTGGCTGAGATTGTGTATTGTGTATATATTATATATTGTGTAAATCTGGCTCGGATTGAGATTTATATAGCAGGTCGTGTATGGTAGCACAAAAACAGACCAAAATTTAAAAAAAAAATGGATATTCTACGTCTGTTATTGCATTAACCGACGTTGAAACATCTTTCGCTTGAGCGAAACGCTCTGGCCGCTTGAGCGAAACAAGCACCCGAGCGCCCCCTTTGTTTGAAGGCTTCGTCGCTCAAGCGAGTACACCGGTCGCTTGAGCGATAAAGGACTTTCAACGTCGATTATCTAATAAGCGACGTAGAATTTACTCATTTCTACGTCGCCTTTGCATTAACCGACGTTGTGACGTCGGTCGCTTGAGCGAAAACTCGGTCGCTTGAGCGAAACAGCAACCGAGGGTCCCTTTGGTTTGAAGGCTTCGTCGCTCAAGCGAGTACACGGGTCGCTTGAGCGACTTCAACGTCGGTTAGTTCAATAACCGACGTAGATGTCTACCACTTTCAACGTCGGGTATGATGAACCGACGTAGAATCCTTTGACATTCAACGACGCCTGATTCAACGACGTCATTGGAACCGACGTTGAAAGCCTTCTACACCCGACGTTGAATGCTCCTTCTGCAGTAGTGAAAGAAGAGCGCTTAAGCGAATGAATGATGCGAGGCCCGACCCAAATTCTCTTATAAAAAGATAAGTTGTGTTTTGAGAAAAAAAAAACAGTCTTGGAGGAGAGGAGACACGACTACTGTTAGGGTTTTGTCTAATCTTCATCAATTCTTCACTTCTTCATCAATTGAAGCATTGTAATGGCCAACATGAGTGGCTAACTTCATTCTCTTAGGATTCGGTGCACTTCCTTTGAACTCTTTTGTATTATGGTGATATTTTGAGATCTTAATCTATGCTTTGATGTTGTTATTCTTATCCTTTATGCTTTGGAATGATTTATTCTTGATTGTTTGAGGTATGATTGGAAAATATATCTTGAACCCTAGATCACGGTAAGAATATTTGTTACGTTAATTGTCAGGAATGGAATGAATGTATCAATTGCTTAACACCCTAACCCTAATGCTGGAAAATTTGTTAATTGTGTGAGGAATCAACATTTATTAGGTTTTCTTATGAATTTCATGTGTGAGGAATCAACATGGATGATTTGAGTAGGTGGCATCAACATTGTTAGGTTAATTGACGTTCTTAATTGACATAGTCATTACAAAAGAGGGATAAGGAAGGAAGTCAATCCTAAGTACCTTTAATTGATATTTTCTCAACAATTTATAGTTTTTTGTCATTTAATTTCAATTCAACTCTTATTTGCAAAACCTAATCTGTTTTAATCTACTTAGTAGGCATAATTGAGAATTTCCATTGAAACTGTTCCTCATGGGATCAACTTTTATTTAATTGAAATACTATACTGCAATTGATAATTTTGGTACGATTGCGAATAATTCAACAAATAGTTCTCAACATAGTTTGTTTTTGCTCTTCTCTAAAAAAACTTAAAAGTTGTTTATTTAAAATAAAATATGTTTTAGATAATCCATTTTATAGGCTTTTTCTAAACTCCAACTATACCTCTCATCTTTCTTTACATCGAGTTGCTCTTCATAAGTTCAAATCTCTAATTAAATATTTATTTACATATAAGAATAAACTGGTATTAAAATTTTGAAAATATTTTAATATCAATTTTATCCTCGTATCTCGACAATTACTCCCTTTAAAATTTGAACTTATGAAAAAAAAAACTATCAATTCAAAGAAAAATAGGGTATGTGATCAGGTTTAGAAAAAACCCTTCAAGATGAATAAATTCAAATTATTTTCATACCGAAATTTAACTTTTATTGATATTTTTTTATCATTACAGAGTTAATAAAGAATTAACCCAATATCATTTTTTTTCATATTTTTTGTAGATATAATATTTCATTTTAATAATTTTTATGCAGAAATTTAACTTTTATTAATAAGTTTTTACTGTTATAAAATTGATAAATTAACTAAATTTATATTTTTTAAATTTGAAAATTAATTAATCAATTTTAAAGTACATAAACCAAAAAGAATTAAAAAACACACAGAGATATAAAATACATAACTCTTCTTGAAAATATTTAAAAATATGAATCATTTCATCATCTTATTGTTATTCAATCTAAACAAAATTCGACATAAATAATCATTATGATATAAAATTATAATTTAATAATTGGATGGACAAAGTTTATTTATTATATACAATTATTAACAATGTAATATTTAGTAAAAAAAATAACATGTAATTTAATATATTCTATATAAATAAATGAATTTTTTTATATTCATTTTGTATAATTATAGTATCAGTAAGGAAAATCTATTAGTTTTTTTTTTATGATTACTACCTGAAAATTTTGACTGACATTTTTAGCGGAATTTTTTAAGCCAACGACAGTTTGAGATGTTCCCTTGTTCTTCAATGTGACCACGAAACAACATCAAAGTACGAATCTGGGATTTTCCTTTCAACATCAAACTGTGTCTGGGTTCTTTCTTTCGCTGAAAATTACTCCGTTCTTGTGAATTTTCGAGACGTACGAAATTCTGCTTCCATTGTTTTGTCCAACTTTTGTGTTGCTTTTGCAATGCTACATAATTTTCATAAGAAAGTTGGTCAACACTTGTTTTGTTTTTTTCTTTTTAGCACTACAGAAGGAGCTAAAAAACAGCTATGACATAACACCAACAACCAGAGGTTAGCAAAAATAAATCATAAAAGAGATTTAGGGGAAAAGGTTAACTAAAATAAGATTCTTTTTTTTTTCTTCTCTGTTTTTTTTTATTATTATTATTAATGTATTGATGGACAAAATGAACTTAAAGGATAAGAATAGAGAGAAGGGGAAGGAATGGAATAATTGAAATCTGAATTTGGATACATCACACTGCAAACCAAATAAGAAAAAGTGTATGAAATGAGATACCCCATTTTCCTTACAACTTTTGGATCATGGGAGATTTTTGTCCTAATAACAGATTGATTAAATTAAAGAGATGATAATTGTCTTTTTAGTATTCTCATAAATCTAACATTATTTAGAGTCAATAATTTAAATATATTTTACTTTTTTAACTCACTAAAATATCTTAAAAATAAAATTATTACTGACAAAATAAAAAAAAATAGACAATATTTCATAAATCTAAAAATTGATTATAATGATATTATCATAATCGATATAAAATTAAAACGTATTTAAAATTAAATATTTATTATTTTTAAAATTATATTATAATTAAATTCTAATAATATTGAGATATTATTTATTAATAATTATAAAATAAATTATTTTTTATCAAATTAATATTAAATTATTTATTTTTATATACGACGGAGTGATGAAAAAAATATCATTTAACGGAAATAGTTATTATAAAATAATTTTATGTATTATAAAAAAATTATATTAAATTTTTTTATAATATATAAATGAATAAAATTCTCTTTTATTTAACTCAAAGATTAAGACATACGTATAATGCTGATAACTTTTGAATCAGATCATGTGGGGAATTGTGGGAGGAATATTTATCCTAATGTCTCTACAATAAAGAGCAACAAAAGTGAATTTATACTTAAAATCTATGGGGATGATTTCACAAGGCACTTCAATAATTGAATGAGCAGTAAGTAATGTTGTCTTGTTTTCCATTACTAAAATTTGTGTCCTGTCATGGAGCTGGTTTGGGCTTTTTGAAATAGAAAATTGGTTTCTGCATCAGCAGATATCATGGCAAGAGATCATCATGTGACTTTCATTGTCATCCCATTCAATAGCTACTCTCTCATCCATCATATCTAAAACAGTGAACGTCTTCTTCAAAAGCATTCTTTTCAATGCTTTCATCCCTTTCCAGTCTTCGTAGCTCTTTTCTTTCTTTCTTTTTTCCTTTTTTTTTTTCTTTTAAACAAAAATGATACACGAACACCTGTAATAATAATAATAGATGGTACTTAAATGGTATTTAGAATGTAATAAGAAGAGATGGAGAAAAGAAAATAAGATTGATAGAGTGTTTAAAAATATAGTGCTTATATATATATATATATATATATATATATATATATATATTATTTATAAATAGATTTTTCATTTCAAAATAACAAAATGATTCATACAAAATGTTTTAACTGTTTCTCGTTATATTTTGTTTTTCTACGTTTACAGTGAAGATTTGGTGAAACAATTCTCAACATTTCAAATTAATATTTTCTCATTTTTTTTAATATTTTTCTATAGAAGATAAATTTTTTTTAGAAAAACTTAATAAATTTCTCTAAGATTTTCAATCTCATAGTTTAATAATATTATCGTATGTATCTCATGATGATATTATGACTTCAATTTTCCACGTTTACGCAGATTATTAGTATTTTTTTTTTCTTTGTACATGTTAATGGTTGTATTTTGAAAATCTATATTTACGTTGGTTCTTCAACTTAAAATGACGTCGATATTAATTAATTGTTATATGTTTAGGTTAAAAAAGTGGTAAATAGAAAAATACAATAACACAAAATGAGTGGATTAGGAATACATATATAAATAAAATGGGTATACGACAAAATAAGTTAGGTTTAGCGAGTTCAGCTGCTATTAAAAAATAATGGATAGATTGATAGTTTTATCTATCAGTCTGTTTTGGTTTGTCTGCCAATTTGATGAAACAATGACTTGGTTCGTTATAAACAAATATTTATATATTAAAATAAAAATAAAAATATTATATTTTTGTATTATATTATTGAAATATGTAGAAATAGTATAATATTAAATTTAAATTATAAATATTAACCAATTACATTTAAATTATTAATTATAATTAGTTATTTAATGTACAAATATAAAATTTTTAATTTATCTAATAAAAATATTAATTAATAAATAAAAACTTAAAAATTATTCATATAATTAAAGTTGTATTTAAAAAAAATACATATAAAAAATGTATATATTAGCTGACTGAGCCACTAGTCTGACAGCTCACCCTTCGATGACATGAACTGGGATCTATAACCCTATTTTAGCACATGAGGATGGAACATAACACCTTAGCATCACTAGGACGAGTGTCTCATCTAACCAAATACAATTAGTTACCATAATTCAAAATCCTGCTTAATCATTCACAAAATTGGTTAAGTTAATGGGAAGCAAAAAAATTAAGTTGAGTGTATTCAATAGGTAATCCATGTAATAGATCCACTAATTCAAGACTCTAAGAGTCTACTTTTACACATGGAGGCATGGCTTAGTACATTGGTGTCACTAGATTAAGTATCTCATTTGTCTACACACAGTTGGTTAACATGGTTCAAAATCTTTGTTAATGGTTAAGTAAGTGTGCATGTGAAAAAAATTAACTTGAATGCATTCAGTAATTAATCCATGCACTATTTCAAGACTCCCAAACCTTACTTTAGCATATGAAGACGTGACATAATACTTTAGTGTCACTCGGTTGAGTGTCTCATCTAACCAAACACAATTAATTAATACAATTCAAAATTCTGGTTGGTCAATCACAAAATTGGTCAAGTTAATGGGATGTGAAAAATTAAGGTGAATATATTCAGTAGTCAATCCATGCAACAAATGTATTAGTTCAAGGCTCTCAGACCTTGCTTTGATACATGGGGCATGGTATAACACCTTGGTGTCACTAGGTTAAGTGTCTCATCTGACCAAACACAAACAAAATTGGTTAACACAGTTCAAAATCTTGATTAATTTTTCACAAAATTGGTTCAGTAAGTGTGCATGTGAAAAAATTAAGTTAAGTGTATTTAATAGTTAATCCATGCATTAATACAAGACTCTCAAACCCTACTTTGGCACATGGGGGCGTGACATAGCGCCTTAGTGTCACTATAGGTTGAGTGTTTCATCTAACCAAACATAATTAGTTAACACAATTCAAAATCTTGGTTAATCTTTCACAAAATTAGTTAAGTCAGTGATCATGTGAATAAATTAACTTGAGGGCATTGAGTAGTCAATCAATGTAACAAATACATTAATTCAAGCTTATTACACCCTGCTTTATCAAATGGGAGCATGACATAGCTCCTTGGTATCACTAGGTTTGGTGTCCTATCTGACCAAATACAATTGGTCAACATAGTTTAAAATCCTAGTTAATCCTTCACAAAATTGGTTAAGTCAGTGACCTTATACATAAATTAAATTAGGAACATTAACAAGTTAATCTATGCGTCATTTGACTCGTTAAGGAAATTAGACCTTTCTTTGGTACATGGGAATGTGGGATAACACTAAGGACTAATAGTGTTTAGTGTCCTCATATGACTAACGTCAATTGGTTAATACCATTAAAAAATGTGGTTAATCCTTACAAAATTAGTTAAGTCAATGACTCTGAGCACAAATTAAATTGAGTGCATTGGCAAGTTAATTCATGCAACTTTTGGCTCATTGAAGACTCTTAGACCCTTTTTGGCATATGGGACGTGGGATAGCACCAAAGACCAAATGTATTAAGTGTCTCATATGACTAATCTCAATTTGTTAACACCATTCAAAAATGTGGTTAATCCTTACAAAATTAGTTAAGTCAATGACTTTGGGCACAAATTAAATTAAGTGTATTGACAAGTTAATCCATACAACTTTTGACTCATTGAAGACTCTTAGACCTTTCTTTCATACATGGGACATGAGATAACACCAAAGACCAAATGAGTTAAGTGTCTTAGCTAACCAATCTCAATTGGTTAACAATATTGAAAAATGTGGTTAATCCTTAACAAAATTGATTAAGTCAATAACTCTATGCACAAATTAAATTGTGTGCATCAACAAGTCAATTCGTGCAATTTTTGGTTCATTGAAGGTTTTTATACCCTTTTTTGGTACATGGAAAATGATAGCACCAAAGATTAACTGTGCTTAGTGTCTCATATGACCAACCTCAGTTGGTAAACATCGTTAAAAAATGGGGTTAATATTTCACATTATTAGTTAAGTTAGTGGCCCTATGTACAAATTAAATTGAGGGCATTGACAAGTCAATTCATGCAACATTTTCGTTTGTTGAAGACTCTTAGATCCTTCTTTAGCCATTAAGGTCAGGATAACATCTTGGATTAATTATTTTCAATGTCTCAATTGTTGGGGATCAATTGTTGTCATGTGATATTGTGCCTCAAACAATTATTTAACCATGTTTGGAGACACATTTGACCAAATAATTTTTGTCCAAAATTATAATACATTACACCAGTTCTACATGTCTTTCTTTTGTCCATTCAAACCTAGTAATATTTTAGAAACTTATAACATACCTACTTACGGGAAATAATTTTTATTATATGATATGCAAATTATTATGTTTAAAATGAAGATTTAATCAAATTTGAACACATTTAAGGACTTTTTTACATTTGTTTAACCAAAACATTTTGATACACAACAAAATCATATTATATGAATTTCATGTATTACTCTCATGCCCCTTCAAGCTTAGATATGTTTTAGCGACTTTTAATAGTCATATTTATAGGGTGCAACTAATGTCATGCCATTCAAAAAAGTATTCTACCTTTTACAATGATCTAACCATGTATGTATATATTTAACCACTTGTTTGAACATGTTTAATAAAAAAATGTTGATTTATAAATATAATACATTACATTGGTTCCATGTGTTGTTTACAATCTAAACCAAGATCATAACAAAATATATGGTCATGAAAATGTAACATCATACCTTATAAACCCTCAATCAGAAGAAATAATAATTTTTAGCAGAATTTTTTTTTTAACCGATAATAATCTTTCCCTCGTACATAATATTAATATATAAAATTTTCAATAACTCATTTCTGCATTTCATCATTTTAAAAAGTACTAAAAGTAAACATTCATAATTACATATAGATAAAATACTAGTACAGTCATATTAAGGGCAACATTGAGATACTTCCTACAGAGCAGCTAACTACACAAATTTTGTAACTACTACTCAGTACCCTGTAGGTCTATATACTACAAAGACTGTCTATAAAAGTTTGGATATGTTTATCCCAATACATGTTGTCATCATTGTGGCTCCCAGCTAATGAGTATGAGTGTCATATTCATCGGGTGTGGAATCTGTGTCATCTCCCCTCTCTTCAAACAATGACCGATCAGGTCCAACGAGTACCGCAAGAACAAAGGAAATAAATAAAACAGAAAAACAAGAGAGTGAGCAACAATTCATACATCATTTTAAAATCAACATCATAAACATTCACAAGTCAATCAAATTCCAAATGATTGATATTAATGATGCATGGTCCTAATATGTTTTTTAAAATGTTTATGCATGCGGGCCCAAATCATTTCTCAAATCAGTACTGGGGTAGCCAGGAGTTGACACTACTAGGCATGGAAAATCCACCCACGGGATTGTTGAGACCCATGCTCAAATATAAACCCAGTAGCTCACTGACCATTGATATACGGTAAGAGCATAGTCAGGTACAAGAGAGTTTGTACAGTGGGATCCCCGACAACAGGTAGCAAGCCTGGGTCTTTTGGGACCTCCAACCACTACCCTTCCTGTCCTCAAGTCCTCCCTCAGGGCCTCCCTATCGTATTCTCAGAGTCCATAATCTCTGATTCCCCAGATTTCACAAATCACCAAATGAACTTTCTTATGAAAAACTATCATGCATATAAATGCTCACTCAAAGACCATACATATCATAATAGAGTACCAAACATGTATTTTACACAATCATACACGTAAACAATTCATTATCACTTTCACAACCAAGCATATAATGAAATCAAAATTATCAATCATAACAAATTTAGACAACTTCAACAAATAAAGTCAAACAAGTTTATGATGTAATCCTTACTATATAGTCCACCCCAGTAGTGCATCTTGACCATTGATATTGGGGGGTCCAATAATATATTATTAATAAATAATAAATAAATATAAAAAGAAGAAAGAAGATGAAAGGATGAAAGAATAAAATTGTAGATATATACTTAAATATATTAAATAATAATTAAGTATGAGCAGGACAAAATCATAAATTATATGAGAGTTACAAAATTGAGAAGAGACTGAGAGGATAAAATTGTAAATATACAAGTAAATATATTAAATTTTCATTAAGTTTGGGGGGCCAAAATCATAAATTACACGGGAGTTACAAAACTTTGGGGGAGGGGGGGCACGGCTCCCCTCAGTTCCCAAGAAGATCCGCCACTGGTCCACCCCTTACCTGATACGTCCACACTTATTCCTTTCAAAGCTTGATGTTGTGTTTTAGCAAAATCTATATACGTAATAAAATACTAGTTAGAATTTTATATTTCTATGTTTCTATCTCATGAGAATTTAAATTCACTTTGTGTTGTTAATCCATTTCTAATAATATTTTAAGCTCACGTTCAACTTACAATTATCTTAGAAAATTATCCTATTTTGTATGCACTTAGAGTAGAAAGAATCTTAATAGCAACCATGGACAAGATTTAGTATTTCAAAATTTTCTAGAGTTATATAAGCTATTTTGGCATGAGATTTGAGCCAAAATTTCAATAACTTAATTACCTACAATATTGATGAAGGAAATAAATTCGAATACCCTATAGAATAAATGCAGTTTTCAGTTTTCAGTGGTTCTTTCCAACTGGACTCAATTACAATAATACTCTGAACATGCCTTGGTAATTGGATTATAACTCATGCTACACATAAGCTATTAACATGAAAAAAATTTCTAAATTTCGGGGATATAATTTCCTACAACTTTTATGAAGGAATAAAGTACTAATTTCATATGTATCAATCTCAGTAATTCAAAAACCTAGGCTGTTGAAACAGGGCTACCTCTTAACGTCACAACTAGAACACTTGACAGTAAAATGAGCATAACTTGAGCTACAAATATCCTTTTAATATGAAATCAGTTTCTATATTTCGACAACTTAAAGGGATACAACTTTTATGAAGATACCAATTCCTAATTCTGTTTACACAAGTCCCAAAA